TCTCTCTCTCTCTCACACACACACACACACACACACACACAAACACACCAAACATGTTTTCATGGGGATAGAATACTTTGACGGCGGTGGAATTGGCATTGTGAATCCCTGCCTCGAAGGGATGCGGCCAATGAACAAGGACCAAACATTGGGGAAAATTCGTGCCACTTTTATTCAGCAAAAGCTGGTGATTTGGTTCCAGTAGAGTACTCCACCATGATGTTCTCAGAGAAAAATTATATTCATAAATAGATATGAGGGACCAGGCCCATGTATTGGACAATGTGTGTGTTTATATCTCTTCAAGATTTATGGAGAGGGTCGGGATTCTACTTTCATCACCTTAATTTCACAAAATTTTCGTAAAGAAGTGAATGACATGCTGCATGACTTCTTCTGATTCTTATTAAATGGACTTGAGGAGATTTGGCAGTGGAATGCAGGTCAGCAGAGAAAAATTATTATAAGATAAGTCCCTAAATTTTTTGAAAAAAAAAAAGTATCATTGCTACCACGCTCCAATTGTCCCTTCAACATTCTTCAATTCACTTTCCACATAGACATCACCAAGTCGTCATATACAACCAGAAATTGTTATACACCATAACTCGAAACCAATAAATTCAGCAGATATAAAGCAAAACTCATTCATTGTGAAAACACGTTGCAAATGAAATAGAGCTTAGCATCTCTACAAGGAAAAATGGACACATAATCAGCATCTCTCAATTACATACCAGTTGTGATAGTTCTGAATCGTTCTTGACCTGCAGTATCCCATATTTGCAATTTGATCCTCTTTCCATCAAGCTCAATAGTTCTTATCTTGAAATCAATCCTGTATGAGAAGAAAGAATCATACCCAAGAGCCAGGAGAAGGTCAAAAATCAAATCTGTAATGAGCCTGCTGATGCTCCAAGGAGACGTACCCAATGGTAGTGATGAAACTGGTGGTGAAAGAACCATCCGAAAAACGTAAAAGAAGGCAACTCTTACCCACACCTGGAAAAGCCATCAAAACCATGACTAACATTTTCAAAAAGACAAGCTAGAGATAAATTTTTTACAAATTGAGGAGATGAAAGGTAGATGAAAGTGCTCGCACAATCGCATAAGTTGTAAAGCAAAAATTCCGATCATGTAAAGAGTATCCTCCTTAAATCCAGTCAACGCGATTTTACAGCTCACCAGTAACTTAACGGCACATGACATGTTACTTTTGCATGATTATTGCATCTTCCTAGACCAAATTTCACAAATATCTCTCGGAGTTAAAAGCAAACGAAAAACAAAGGTTATCATCCTCGAATGTGAAACGAGGCTCAACTGTGTTTCCCAGTAACTAGTAAATCAAAATTCATAACATCAAAAGCCGCCCACAAACCCACATGCATTTTTACCCAACCAAATTAACATCAGTGTTTTTTACCCTCGTATTACCAAACAGAGACAGGTCCGTAAAACAGCACACATTTACGAGAGCACTCGGCCGGCCGGCAAAGCCATTTCCCCAATAAATCTACCAAACATTTTCCCTTATATTCATCTAAATTCCTCACAAAATAACAATAACAAGTACCCCAAGCATCTCATCCAGAACAATTAGAAAAAAAAAATCGATAAAATTCAAACATTTCCCATTAAAAAAGAGGTGAAACAACAACACAAGCTACACGGGCTCATGCCTACATTTCAAATCAAACCGCATAAACGATGAAGACGAAGACCAAAAAAAAAAATAAATAAATAAAATATGATACAGAATGAGGTGAGAGAAACACCCACCGCTATCGCCGATCAAGAGAAGCTTGATGAGATAATCATAATCGGCCCGAGCTCTGGCGGGTGGAGCAGCCATCGGAATCGGATTCCACTTGTGCTTCCCACAAAAATTCCTCGAAAACAAACCCTACCAACAAACAATGGCAGCTCAAAACTACATGGAGCGCAAGAAAATTGAACTATTAATTTCAAAAAAAAA